TTCATTCAAAATTTTTCACTGAATATTCGAATATTAAAATATTGAACGAATGAATATTCGAATACAAATTTTTTGACTGAATAAGACCTCTACCTACATTATGCTTGACCTTGAAATTTAGTTGGTAAACAAAATTTTTTTAATTTGCATAATTTATGATTTGATACACGCATAATTTTGCAATGGCCAGATTATAATTCTGGACACTCTAAGCTCATGTGACTAGCTGGATATAACTCATGTAACTACATGGCTCTAGCTCATATGGCCACCTGGCTCTAGCTCATGTAGCTACCTGGCTCTAGCTAATGTGGCTATCTGGCTCTAGCTCATATGGCTACCTGGCTCTAGCTCATGTGACTACCTGGCTCTAGCTCATGTGACAGGGAGACGCACACTAGCCACTTAGAGTTAACACAAGCTACCACCACTGTGGCTGGTGGTCACATGACTACCAGCTTTAGACGGTTCCCTATTTTGGCACTGCAATAATAATTTTAAAATCTTGGGCCTTTATATATAATTCTAGGCCCTTATTTACAATTAATTTCATTTCCGGGCCCTTATATGTAAATCTCCTAAAATATATATAGATTCAAAATAAAAAAAAAGAAATTCAAAATTTTAAAAAAGAAACCCCTGTGATGTGTGATCTACGAAATTTGATAATCACAGTAAATTGAAAAGCGTGAGTGCATCTATTTGCGATCAATACCCATTAGCACGTGATGATTGACCAATCAAATAGAGGAATTTTGATCATCCCGGATCAGCCCGACGAAGCAAAACAAAGCGAAAAATGTGAAAAATACAAAAAATATAGAAAACAGTAGTCTAAACCTATCGTGAAGCATTAATTAAAAATGTCGGGAAGGCAAATTTACCTATATAAACTACCATATCCGAAACTAATCTAACCTTAATACGGGCACCCTAACCCTAATTCTTAAAAAATCGGTAATCATGTGCTGATGGAAATTGATGCGCATTCGAAAAGCGCTTTGATTCAACGATTTATCCCGAGAGAAAGGTCTAAAGAAAATTGATTTAATTGCATCGCTTTACAAAAACTAATCATAACACTAAAGCTTGTTTTTATCTAAAAAATAATTTATTATTATGAGGACTGTTTTATTGAGGTATGCGATATTATATAATTAACAAATCTATGTAGATCATATATATAAATCGTACTAAAAAAATTTTTTTATAAACTATAACTTTTCCAAAATTTATATAGTAAAATACATTTTTTTAAATCAATACTCTCCTCTTTCATTTTTAATGATAGAGATATAATTTTTAATTTGGTAAGTTTTTTTGATTTTAAAATAGTAAAACGATCAAAAAACTCTTAAAAATTTCTATTATAAATTTTTTTTTTGCTCTATTACAAGTTTTAAAATTTAGGCCACACAAAGTTAATTTTCGTTTTGCATTACCCGCCGACCCATTTTTTCAATTTTTTTTTTTTTAGGTTCTAATTGTGCTAATTGTTCTATTTTTTCCTTTTAATTTTTTTCCCATAAATTAATCCGGTACCACACGATGGAGAACTTATTTTTCCAGAATTATCCGATAGAACTGATAAAAAAAATTCGATTGCCGACCCAATTTTCCGATTCCATGTTATGCAAAGTGAAAAATTAACTATGCATGGCCTTAAATATGAATATGAGTCTATTAATCATCGTAAATTTTTTTTTTTTTTTAAAAAAAAAAAATCCGACCGTTGATTTTGAAATCCATGTAATGCAAAACGAAAAATTAACTTTGCGTGGCCATATATTAAACAAAAATTTTCTCTCCATATTAGTCTTCAATAAAACTATATTAATATTTTTTATAAATGATTAAGTCTTTCTGGAACCTTAGCGATTTGAAAAAATAGATTTTACTATATAAATTTTGGACAAGTTATAAGTTATGAAAAACCTTTGTATTATGATTTAATATATGACTTGCATAAGTTTGTTAATTATATGGCATCGCACACCCCCACTGTTTTATGCGAACTGTGTAAAAATGGATATATTTTCTTTTTTTTTGTTTTTTTTACAAAATTTATATTTGATAGAATTTATGTATTCAAAATGTATATTTAATTTGTAATATTTACAATTAATAAATTTTTACAGGTTTCATTGTAAGTTTTGAATACATAAATTGAATAATGAAGATGAACATTTACGTACCTAATAAAACTTAACGCGACAATAGAACATCATAAAATATCAAATTACAAAAAGTCCATTGTAATAAAAAAAAAGGTGAAAATAAAAGCTGCTCTTGCTGTAAAAACAATGGTTTTGTACTTTTCAATGTGATTGTGTTCGTCAAGGTTATGAAAATAATTAAGGCTGGCTGAGATACATGCAAAAATCAAGCTCATTCTCAGTAAATATTCTTTATATTTTTGAATTTTCCTGTACTAGCTTAGCATTTTATCAATTACTTTGTTGATTATTAAAGTTGATTTTAATAAATATAGATATAATAAATATCGATAAATAATTTGCTTTTAATATTTAAAACAAACAATAATAAATAAAATTGAATTTTTTTTTCATGATAACTTGTTATCGATCAGTAAAATTATATCGATTAGAATACGACGTCTAAATAGAAATACTACTCGAAAAAATTCAATTAATCTGTTTCTATAGGTTCACTTGGTGCACTTTTTAACTGACACAGATCATACCAACCATCTTTGGTATTTGGTTTTATCTTTTCATTAATTTCTTCCGGTAACTCAATAATTTGAGCCACCATGCCAACATCGGAGTGCCACTTATGTAATAAAAAAAGAAATCAGTTACGCACACATTTCAGTATTTTGAAATTGATTTATTATACATAATGTAGAGTGTTCATTACCTCAATATGACAATGAAATGCCCAAACTCCAGCGTTATCCGCAGTAAATTGAATTCTCGTACGACTTTTTTTTTTTAAAAAAAAAGAGTTAAATAAGAATATGAATGTCAAAGTACTTACAGGTCAAAATAACCTACCCATATTTGGAAACTGTTGCTGTATCACGCTTAATTGGATCTTTAAATTTAATACCGTCAGCTTCCACTACCCAGAACGCATGCCCATGCTATATGCATATGTATAAAGGTGTATAAATATAGTGGTATATCGATATACAGACAACGCTCTCTATAACGTATTGTTCATTCTGGATATAAAAAAAAACTTGCTGTATAAATTATGTTTTCTTAAGGAATCACAACTATTTTTATACGGGGCTAATACTGAATTTAAAAATTTTTTGTTCGTTATAGAAAAGTTCGTAATAAAGAGAGTTGACTGTATTCGTGAATTATTTTAAATATTTTACCAAATGGAAAGGATGCGAAATATCATCAGCGCCTAAAAAAGAAATTTCGTTAAATAATCGAGGTATATAGTTAGTAACTACTAATTAGTTTAAGTATGATTTTATAATTTAATAATACAAACTGTCTATTGCAATCTCAATCAATTTTGATTTTTCACTGTCTTTCAAAGTAAAAACGTTCTGAGTAGTTGGCCAATTCCAATCATAATCTTGTATTGTTGAGTAATTTTCTAGTTTGGTATAAACTTCTTTCAGTGTATTATCGTCATCACCATAAGCTTCATATACAATAACTTTGGAGCCGATTAATTTTTTCTCATACACCGACCCGATTGTAGTGTACGTGTAGTTTTTTTTCGAATCAAGTCTTGTTTTCATAATAATTGACATTGGGATACTTCTGTAAGGTTTATTATCCAGTAGTTTTTGATCATCATCTTTGGGACTCAATATAGTCAAATTTAAATCAGTACATCCAATTTTCTCAGACCATCCATTATTATTAGGCCATAATATCAAATCACTCCATCTTTCTGTGGTAGGTATTTTTTCCTTATTCTCATCACCGTAGTAAACTCTCGAATTTATTTCTTTAATTAGCGCTTTTTTCTTTTTACATTCAGTATTGCTCCGAATACATTCTGGATTGGCCTCCATTCGCATCCAGAAATTCGTTATTCCATCTTTCTTTGCATCTTCGGTTCGGGTTGCAATAATCGTATATCTTTGTGAAACATGAATGGGAACACGATGGAGTTCGACATTTTTGTCTTGAACAACTGACATCCCTTCAACCTCTATGACTTTTAGCGTATGTCCATCAATTGAAAAAAAGTATTCCACTAGTGCACTAAATATTAAGTTAAATTAATAAAGGCTTGATAATTTTATATGAACTAATTTTTATAATGATATTACCCCCCGTTAACTACATGAATTCGGTGTTCTTCTCCATCTTTAAAAGAAAACTTTAATCCACTCTCTACAATCTTTTCAGGCTCACAAGGTTCTGTGTCATCAAAATCTTTAAATTCACAATTTCCTTGACCTTGACCATTGATAAGAACAGAGTATGGAACAGGCTATGAAAAGAATAGATGAGTTGTAATGTTTTCATGAATTGATGATTTTTTAAAGTGAATTTTGACTATTCACCTCAGCTGTTGTGGCGGCACTGGTAGTATTATACTGGTATTCTTTTAATAAAACTAATGATTTATTATGAAACCAATCTGATATGATTATACAGTACGGGCAGCTACTACTGAGATAGTTACTACTGTCGTATATGATATCTTCATCCTCATCATCAATAATTATAAATAAACCATAAAGTCCGTCCATACGTTGAGAATGATAATGCGAGTGACTATATTTCATATTACATATTCATTATTATAAAATATACGATTAATTTCATTTATTTATTTACTTACTAAAAATGAGTGCCGGGCTTATCGTTTGCTGTAAATTCGTATACATATGATTCACCGGGCTGAATTGGACATTGAGTTAAGGCTGGGACTCCGTCCGAATAAGTCGTACCCACCATGTAAAGCCCATGCCAATGGATTGTAGTTGATTCAGTAAGGTCATTCGTTATTTTAATTTGAATAGGTTGGCTTTTTTTTGCTATAATGGCTGGCGCCGGAAATTTTGCTTCATTTTTGTCGCTACCGGTAGGATAGACAACTATAACTTCTCTTTCATAATTTGGGCATTTATCAAGATTTTTTTTTACAGTTGAAATGGTAAATTCAAGCTCAAGGGTGGGAAGGGTATTCTTATCTCTTTTTTGAATAGGATTAGAAAGAGCCAAAATTGTCAGAAAAGAGATTATAAATAATACAAAGGTTAATTTTTGGAATTTCATTTTTTTTTCTTTGTTTTTTTTTTGTCTTTTTTTTTTTTTGTCTTTTTTTTTCTTTTGGTTTATTTTTATATAGCTTATCTGGTTTTTTTTTTTCTTGGCTTATTCTTACACAGATTACCTGGTAAAGCTTAGCTCTAAAGAAATGGTCAATAACGAGGCTTTGCGTCAAATATTTTTGCGCATTATTTATCTGAAAAAATATATGTTCTTTTTATCTCAATAGATGTCCAAACAGTTTTGTTTAATCAAAATAGAAGTATTAATGTAATTGTTAATAAAATTTTACATGGTAATTAATTATGACGAAAAAGCCCAAGTTTTTTGTAGCGAAAAATTATCGGAATAGATATGAGAACGGTAACAATAATTGATAATTCAAAACTTATGGCGTAATCCAAAACAGCAAATAAAACTATTTTTTATTTCGATAGAAGTGAATTGTAAAATTGTAAATATTATGAAATAAATATTTGGAGCGATTTTCCCCGCTTTTTTTATAATATTATGTCATATAATACATATTATAGTAAAAATTGATTCAGTTTTTTATATTGGAACTACAGCATTATGAATGCGACAAAATGTAGAGGCTGACTCGTGTTAAAGCCATAATTTTTATAAATAATACTGTAAATTTTGATTCAGTAAATTCAAGCTCATTGCATTTATATCAAATAACAGATGGACTGAATTAGTTTGATAGAATGTTGATTGAAATCTTATTTTTACAGTAAGTGAAGGTGAAGTCAATAACGAGACATTCTAAATATCTTTAAATTAGCCTCATAAATATATTTAGAGTCTCTAGATATAAAATCGAACTATAAAATAGTATTATCTGGCTGTAAAATTTAATGTGCCAACTTTTGAGCCATAAATGGCTTATTAACTTTACAGCCACATAAACAATTTATTGGTACATAGCATTCAATAATGGTATAACGACCAGGCTGGCAAATAGCCAAAGTTTATTTAGCAGTATAAGTACCATTATTAAAAGTTTATGAATCATAATGATAACTATAACTTATTTTAACAAATAACGATATACAGTACATGTTTTTATTTTGGTGTGAATCTGTTATTAACCATCTAAGCCATATGTGTTTTGAGAATGCAATTGTATAGAAGTATAGTTTGCAGAGATAGCATTAAGCAATACTAAGTAGAGCGAAATTATCATAAGATCAACTTTAATGAATATGTTGTGGCTTAATAATAAATGTACAGTGGATAATTTTGTTATGTATTTATTTTTGTACTTGCAATAGAAGTGCTTATACTTATTTGCGTTGTTTATGCCATGGAATATTTATTTGTATTATTGTTGTATTGCGGGATCGGTGAAGCCACATTGGCTGTGTAGGTTTGGAATTGTTATTTACGAACTATTGGATTTGATTATTAGTAGATATTTAGTAACTATCGGGGATAAAGAACTAACGGTAAATGTATCAATAACTAGGGAGCATCCATAATTTACGTTAAACCAGTATAGTTATAGGAATCTTAAAGATAATACAAAAATAATACCATATGGCATTACCTTCAAGGCCTCTATCTTTATACAATACAGTGCTCTGGTTTAACGTAAATTATGGATGCCCCCCTATCAGGAAGAGTATCGATTAATGATCACGGGATGAAGATCATATTTGGGTCAACAGATTCTAAGCATGTGATGCGCCTTGTGACCAGAATAATTCCAATTTCAAAGGTGAATATTGATCTGAATGAAATGACTTTCCACAAGCAGTAATCACTAACCTAATACAGACGGCAATGAGAAGGAAGATAAACACAATCGGGACCTATATCAACATCGCTTACTCAGCTGCAACAGTTTTTTTTTTTTGTTGATGTGCCTACTAATATCATTACTCCAAATAAGAAGCTAGCTTTTGATCATTTAATACAAATAACTGTGGTGGTATGTTTGGATAACCTTGATCATGTGATTAATAAGAAGGTTCGATCCATATAATCGAACAGAATTTTTTTTAGATAATTCGAAAAAACTTGATTTCTTAAGTAAGTAATAGTGTCGTGCGCAAGAAAGTTTGAGTTTAATTAAACTGAACATATTGTTTCTTTGGGTGTAATATCTTGAAAATATTTATTTTCAATTTCAGGTGCACAATAAAATAATGTTAATGGGGTTTATTTCATTTTTTTGATTCATAATTCAACATAGTAAAAATGCTATTGAAAAAATCCTGCTTATTTCAAAATGCGCCACTTATTTGTCAACCTTGAAATCCCAAATGATATTAATTAATATTACATCTTTGTTGATTTGTTATATTTTGGATTGTCTTCAAATTTATGAGTATGTTTTTTGCACATATGCATGCTAAATATTTGATATTTGCTTACTCGACTCCATCACAAAGTTATTTTTTATAAAATCTAAAAATTTTTATTTAGATTTGCAAACCCAATATAGACTCACATAGTCAGAATTTTATGTATGGCTTAATATAATATTTATAAATTTTATTTATTTATATAAATATAAAATTTATATAAATTCTATTTATATCTGTATAAAATAAATTAATTTACTTTGGCTATTACTCAAGGTAATCAGTGTTCGATATACTAAGTAAAAATGTTCAGCAGGCCAGAAAACACTCTCCAAACCCCTACTTTAAGATTTAAAATCTATTTCTAGCTTTAATATTTAAGTTGAAATTTTTTTGAAAATTTACATAATTCTACATATATATATATATATATTTATATAAATAGCTATGTAAATCTACATTTGGGTTTATAAGGCTACATAAAAATTTTACATAATATTATCTAAATTATTGATTATCTAATAATAATTCTAGTGTATAAAACATGCATTTAAAAATTTTACATGTGCATTTTATCCAAAAAAGAAATATAGCTTTTAAGAGGCCTAAATTTCTCTCTTATAATATAAATTTGGTGTTGGATTAATAAAATAATAATAATAATAATAATAATAATAATAATAATAATAATAATAATAATAATAATAATAATAATAATAAT